CCAGGACATAATCCCCTTCGGACAAAATCCCCTTCATGTATTTTTGTACATCTGGACATAATCCCCTTCATGGGTGGACATAATCCCCTTCATGTGTGAAATTTTGAAGTGGACAAAATCCCCTTCATAAAATTGCTACCTAGGACAAAATCCCCCTCGGAGGAATGTTTGGTTTCTAATGTTGGTATGAGTGACATACTGCATTATGCTGTGTGTTAAATATCTTAATGTATAAAAAAGTAGAAAATATTTCAGCAGAAAAGCACATTCAATTAGCATATTTTAATCACATTAAAATTGCTTTATTAAAGCATTCATAACAATCAATCAAGTAGTGCAGCAAATTTGGTTTGATTAAATTATCACTCTTTCATCAATAGAATTTGTAACAATGGACAGTATATATCAATTAGAATCATCAACTTATACAATCAATGAAACAATTATTGGCTAATAATTTTTTTTTCATACTAATCAATTTAAAACAATTAAAGAAATTGCCTGATCAAAAATGTGTTTACTGTTATGCAGTTGATAATTTACCATAATTTTAATGAAAACATATAAACTAAAAAAAGGTTAATTATTGATACATAATTACAAATAAAAAAACAAAAGTTCATTATTCATCAATTTTTAGGGAGTATAATAATACATTATTCATCAATTTTTATGGAGCATAATAATACATTAGAAACCTATGAAACAAGGGCATTTTGTCCGGGTGGTGAAGGGGATTTTGTCCGGCCTTGCAAAAAAATGAAGGGGATTATGTCCACCCATGAAGGGGATTTTGTCCGGGTAGGCGAAGGGGATTTTGTCCGAAGGGGATTATGTCTGATATTCATAGATAATATTTTATTTGAAAGATTAAGAAGCAAGACACAAAACAATACACGAGACAGACATTAAATTATCATCAACAACTATTTAACAGTGACGAGTTTGATGGAAACGAAAACAATAACAAATGAACTATTCGGTGCAATATATTAATTTTGGGAAATCCTTTCTAAATTAATATATTCAAAACTGACCTACCTGTATCGCATACCTATATCGGACATTTCATAATATTTACACTTAAAAATCTATTGTAAGTATTAAATCACAGTTAATATCCAGCAAATAATTTCTTCTAATTTAATTTTATATATAATGCATTATTCCAACAATTAAACGCACAAAAACACTTTATTTTCGAATGTTATAACTTATCTATAGCATGTACATAGCATTTTAATATAATTTGGTTTCAGTTTTTCAATCAGTTTTATTACATCTAGCATCTATCATTATCTAATAACAATAATAATTAAAAATATTATCATGAGATGATAGCAAACCGTTTTTTTAACATATCAAGCAATATACTAAAGTGGGGCCGAAACGTCTCGCGGAAAAGGGCCGAAACGTCCAGGGGCCGATTTTTCGACAGGGGCCGAAACGTCCTGTTTGCATTTATCCTATCATAAACACTTTTTACTTCATCGAAATCCCTCAAAATACGAGTAAGTTTCCAAATTTCACTGAAATGTCATTGCATGTCGTTTCCGACGTCCCAAGCGATGCGAGTAAACAAAGGTGAATTCTGGTCAATTTCTACAAAATCAACGATTCGAACGAATAACTGTTAAAATTTTCACATACTTTCTTTAAAACAACTTGTTTACAGTCAAACTGCGAAGTCAAATTACTTCTCAACTGCCCGATGATAACGCCAACAAGCTAAAAAAAAAAATCATTGACAGCTCTGTACCATAAAGTAACCATTTCCTACTTTACCGCACTGATTACAGGGTTCTCACTAGAGTCAGTGTACCCGGTTCCGCACAGAACCCGGTCCCGCACACTTTCCCATTTTTCATTTTTTCTTAAAAAAATCAAATCAATTTATTAAGTTTTCATTTGTGTTTCACTGAACTGGCATGTTTTCAACAGGATATGACATAATCTGGGATCTTGCACCCCAGCCTCTCCCTAGACAGTGCAGACGAAAATGTAAATACATGTACATGGCTGTGTAGGTCACACATAAAAGCAACTTATTCAGCAATTAAACCATGCTAATTTCTATTTTAATGTTAAGATCATTATAAAATATATATTTGAAAAGAAATGTATGTTTTTGTTATGGCAAATTTGTTGTTACTTATGAAATATATGCACATGAATTAACTTCTCCCAATTACCAAATGTCAAGTCATTTCACCTTGATTCTTTTGTTTAAAATGATACCAAACTCTTAATCGAACAAATCATAACTAAACAGATGAAAAAATCTTCAATAATAATGTTTTATGTCTGTCTTTACTACCTACAAAGTACAAGTGGTAAAAAGTATATTTCAATTGCTGTTACATGTTTCCTGTGTGCTACTATGCTTGGAAATAAATGTTTGTATACTGTAGTGAGAATGTGCATTAAATTTATTTGAAGTCCTGAAAATTTGCAAAGAAATATAACTTATCTGGACTTACAGATGTTAAATAATTCATAAAACATGTTTAAGATGTAAAATAACCTTTCAGTATAAAAATGGCCTAGTGTGCGGAACCGAGTCCACTATTTATCATATTTGGTCCATTCCTGTTGCTTAAAATCAAGTGCGCCTAGAAGTATGACCTACTTAAGACAGAAATGTTTCGGTTATCTGTTTTTATGGGCAAAGGATGTAATTTTCAAAATAATATCTATTATAAGAAGAATTTTTAACTATAAGATAATTTTCTTATTTTTACTTAAAAAAGTGTACGACTCCGGGTACACTGACTCTAGGACTTTAAAACATGGAGTCCATGGACTCCCAACCCTGAAAAAGTTGGAGTCCAAAAGCGCGTCGCAATTAATATGTTTACAGATTAGTCATTCAATGCTCACAATAACATTGCTGATATTTTGAATCTTCAAGAGACTTCCAAAGTTTATAGTTATTCAAAAGAAACTCTGAACTACATAGTATAATTATTGTTTTGTTGTTAATATTTATTATGAAATTATTTCATTATAATGCATCAACACATGGAAATCATTTTTTTTTTCTCACTTTTATACCAAATCAAATTTTATTCTGGTTAAATAAGTCCACTCTAAAGACAAAAAGTTTGTATTTGTAAAAAAAAAACTGTAAATGTATATAGGCAGCGTTTAGCGGGATGAATAGGCAGGGAATTCCCCAGGCGCTTTTAGAGCATCGGCACCGATGCGCTAAAATTTCAGAACAAGAAATCCCGATGCGCTTAGAATTATCATAGCGCTTTAAAAAATGACCGATATTCCTTTCTATTGTGTCTATAAGTTAACCCCAATTAGCCAAATAAACAAGCCAATATACATGTCCTGTGTAGATAATTACCCGAGGCGTATACACAACCCGATACACTGATTGCCTGTAGACTGTGTGACGTCACAGACACCTGTCATCGATGTCTGCAGACGACTGTTGGTGCACTTTCGGGTGTTGTCAATTACCGTGTTTTGAGATGGGTGCAATTTAACCGCGACATGTGTGATATTTACATGTTTCAGGTAGGTGTTATAACTTTTATTGTTTTGATAATATAATTGGCATTGATTGACATGCGATATAACAGTTTGATATTTAGGGATGAATGGGTTAATTGTATTGATATAAGTGTAATGTTCAATTTCATCTTTCACTTTCTTACGATCGCTATGTCTAAGCAGTACTGTAGTATTAAGATTTCAAAAAATAATATGTTTAACATGAATAAGGGAAGCCTAGTTCACTATCAATTTTAAGAGTTTTTTTTGTGAGCAATGTCGTTGAAACTGTCTCAGGATCATTTTGCTTTTTAATATATACATGATAATCGTATTTTACTTGGATTAAACTGCATAGATATTCAGAAATAAATTTGGTTGATGGCTACTTTAACATTGAAAACATTTACGACTGTTCATTATCAACTTGCAACTGAGTGAAAACAACAACAAAAACTTTACATCAACAATCCCACTTAGTGACAGCCAATTGGTCATTTTCTTTTTTAATTAAAAATATCTTGTAATCTGTTTCTGTTCACTGAATCCCCAAAATGAAAAAAATATTAATTTTGCAGGCCCTCTTTAATCTAGCCTGTTATGGACAGCTTTGTGAAGTGCATTCTACTGTCCTACCCCTTAGCATTGGTTTGTCAGGACATACAGGAGCTGGCCAGGCACTTTGGTGTAGATATAGAGCAGTGCAGCAGCCACTGGCACCAGGTACGTGCCAGTCTAGAAGGGACTGATCAGTCAGCCGACCAGACCATGACCTGGATTACTGGCAACCTTTCTACCAGTCATCCAGCTCTTTACAGAATTGTTGCTGTGGGTCTCCTCCTCCCAACCTCTACTGCAGGTAATTATTATTAAATTCATTCATTCTTGAAATTCCAATGACAGTTGCAGATGTGTAACACTTAGCTAGAAGTTTTTCAACATTTCAAATATAAATTTTTTTACTTAGTTAAGTTTAAACAGGCTGGAAGTTTTAAATTTTCAAAAATTCACAGCAAACAAACAATATAAATAAAAGACATGAGGTTAACATAAATGATTACTTTCATTTATTAATTTCAGATTGTGAGCAAGGATTTAGCTGCCTGAAGAGAGTTAAGACTGAAAACAGGAATTGTCTCTCTGTTAATGTTCTTAACTATCTTCTTGTCGTCTCCCTTCAAGGACCCCCATTAGAATCTTTCAACTTTGAGAAGGCAGTCAAGGCATTGAAGGACAACAAACCTAGAAGACAGGCCCACTTTTAATGATGTTAATGAAGAAAAAACAACTGAAATATACTCATTTAAATGGGACACACATACATAATGTTGTGAACTTGTGTTTATATATAATTGTTTATTTATTTGAATTGTTGGAAATGGTCAAAAGTAAATAATAAAAATTAAGAAAATGTTTATCAAGTGAAGAGCTTTCAATATTTGTTTGAAAACAGCCCACAGCAGTATCTTGACACCTAAAATGGCAAAAAATATCGACACGCGGTATGGGGTCAAGACCCCCTCCCGCACCAACCCCGTCTAATTAAAAAAATGCAGCGCTTAAAAAAAATCCTGGGGAATTCCCTGATAGGAAAATCGTGTACAGCTTCACATAGTGTGTAAGAGATTCATCCGATCGACAATTATTTTAGCAAATATCTTCAAAAGGGGGCAAATTGAAGATTGATATTTAAAGATTTAATGTTGATTAAATAATAAAGGAACAATTCATTCGCATGTTTGGCTTGGAAACCGAGAATTTTGCGAAATTTTAGGGTTTCTGGCGAACGTGAAATCGCCGATGTTCGGATCAATTTTCGGATAGAATCTAAATATCAAAGAAAAGCGTATGTGTACCTGGCATTTCAGCACAATATCTTAAATTCTTAATACTCTTATAGAAAGATTTTGCAAGAATGAAACTAAAGCAAAATTGTGCCTAGAAAATGCTGAAAATAATCGACAATCATTATTATGCTGAACATATTCGACAATCATTCAAAATTACACTCATTTGTAATTGAGAAAACAGTCTTTAAACTTGCGGTAATTTTATCCTTTTGTCGGTAAAATTTGCTAATTTCCAATCAACTGTTGATCTATCACCTTGTGTTATATCTGGTAATTACATGTACTGTACAGCGCGTGTATACATTAGTCTGATCACTATTGCGTGATAATGATTGGAAGCGTTATCGCTGATTGGCTAATCGCTTCATGGGTCGATGTGCATAGGACCGCCTACCTATAGACTGACACGCGCTGACGCATTTGTGTATTTGTGGTTGTAAACAATCGGTCATGTTTATGCGTCCCCATGCAAAATTAAGCGTACGTGGAATCCTTGCTCTGAAATATTTGCGTCCAGCTGTAATAAACATGCGTACCGGGACGCCGAAATAAGCGTCCCAGAGACCCCTGGATTATAACGTCAAGTAACGATTGGTTAAGCGGGAAATCCGAGTTCTTCCAATATCGCGCTAACCAATCGTTACTAGACAAATACAGTCATGAGCCAACCTCAATTTATCTTAGAAGAATGTAGAAAGTGGAGTCGAGCGCCAGCTTGACTATTCTATGGCCCCTTAGTGGAAAGGCAAAATAAAATGATGTGATCTGTGTCATTTGCTGAATCTTACTATGTTTCACTGGTTTGGGTTATTCTCATTATTGGTAATACGAAATTAGGTGATACCTATGGCCCGGAAAGCTCTTTTAACTTAAACATCAAGCATAACATGTCAGGGATTTTTTTTCAGGATTTTGGGAAGTTACAAAACCCATACCCATGGAATTGGGAATTTCAGCGGTGTTTTGTTAAAAATTTGGGAAAAATGCATGACTGAAATTTTGCAGTGATAAAATGGATGCGAACAATTTCTGTCTATGATGCAGTCTGCGAAATTACATTTTTAGATCATTTTAGGCCATTTGGGCCTTCAACCCAGACAGAAGTATAGACAGAATATCACAGGCCCAAAACATTTATTGTGCAAAATAAAAGCAACAATATTTTATGTTATATCCCCAATCACCAGTTTCACTTAACCCTTTACCTCATATATACGCGAAACAACGCACTTTCGACCCCCCCCCCCCCTTTTTTAGGCCTCAAATAGTGAAAAAATGTCGTATTTGGGCCCCAAACACATGTTTTCGTTTGAGAAATGTTGCTAAAAAAAATGAGCACTTTTTCGGCGCCGCCCCCCATCCAAAAGATGTACCCCCTTCTGTTAGGGGGGTTTGAAGGGGGCGGAGTCCCCCTCATCGCCACGAAAATTTTGGACTTGTGAGAGGCTAACAATGACCCCTGGTCTATCATAATGTAACGTGTAACCAACGCTGAAAAGCCTTTGACTCTATCTCTTGAGAAGTTGCAGCACTTTGAAATAAATTTTGATGGGAAAAATCGAGGCAAAATAGTGATTTTTGGCAATTTTGAGATGTCCCCTCGTTGCCATGGTAACAGGAAATTGAAGACTGAGCATGTCGTTACAAAGGCAATGGTCCAGTCAACATTTGTGCCAAGTATGATTAGTATTGAAGCATTTTTCATAGTTTCATAGCAGTTTGAACTTGTAACAGGAGACTTTTCAGTGAAAACGGCCATTTTTCACAATATGCTCATGGGGGAAAGGGTTAAGATATTTAAATTAGCCAATTTATGTTTGTTGTTCACAAATCTAAATGGGTCAATCTAAAAACAAATTAATTCTTCAACAGAAATTTACCATAACTTGTTATTTAACCCGCGAACATTTATGATTATACTGGAGCATTTACACTAACCAATACTGAATAGCTGTAGATAATAATATAGATTATGCATAAATGATTGACATACATGCATTACACAAATATTATTGGAAGTACATATACTGATGAAGTACTACACAATTATTTCGGAAAAATATTGAAACTAATTTTATATGAAAACACATTCTGAATTCAAAGGCCCGTTGGGCTTACAATCTTTGGATTTTTAAAGGCCCGAATTGGATTTTACCAGCCTCGGGCATCGGGCATATGCCTTATTTCTCAGACTGATGATGGCATCTTCAAATATTTAAGCACTATTACAGTCAAGGCTGCCGATATTCCGCGGATCCGCGGAAATCTGCGGATTTCGTGAGCTCCTGGGTCATTTTTGAGATCGATGTAAATTCGACAAAGACAATAAATTCATTCGTCATATTTTATACAGTACCCAAAAACCGGCACGCTTCGGCTTTTATCGTTACGCTAGCCACCTATGGTATGTCTGTAAGCCCTTTTCTCATTGGTCATATCGAGTCTTTTCCGGTATTCTATTTTAGGATAACCAATCAAATTACAGTTTACATTGTCACTCTTGTCTGTTGTCAAAATGCGTCAAAATGTCAGATGTTTGTCAAATTTAGAGTCCAGGAAATTGATTTTAGGGCATACCAAATTATCAGAATCCAGGAGCTTCCGGGGGCTTTGCCCCCTGGTCCCCCACCAGGGCTCTGCCCTGGACCTGCAAAGGGGGCTTGCGCAGCCCCCTTAACCCCCGGCGTATTTTCCGCTGATTTTGCAATTTGCTGTTGGCAGCCCTGTACAGTGAAGACACCAGCCCTTATTTGCAAAGATTTTAGAATTTCTATTCAATATTTTTATTTTGTAACTTTCAATTGGGAATTTTTTTCTGTGGATTGGGAAAATAATATACTATTTTCAATTGGGAATATGACCCAATAACGGCTATAAATGAAGCCAAAAAAAAATCCCTGCATGTTCAGTATACATGTAGACCAGATCTTTCTTGCACTACGTAAATAAATAAATTTGCAGGTATTTTGTACCGTAAACAGAAACAAATAAATTTGTTGTGTAAACAGAAATGAATAAATTTGTGGTGTTCAACCTATCATGCTCCGAATATTTCCGAAAATCTCCACAAACTCCTTACAGTGATTTGATTGGTGAGCCATAAAATGGTTTCATTGGCCTCCTGTGTATCAAAATTGTATCATCACAAAAATTGCCTTGCATACATTATTTAGTATGATACTATCATTCCTTCAAAATATACAGGTCATCTGTTGGTAGATTATATTAATTTATAACAATTAAGGAAATGAATGGTGACTTGTCCTGGGTCTGTATTCTCAGTGTCTGAAAGGGCAGAATGATGGCCCCTCTTTAAGCCTAGAAGACGTGCATTCACACGATTTCGCGACTTCCCATTAAAGTTGTGCGAATTACATTTTTGGGAGTGTTGGATGTTTCATTTTAAAAATATTTATTTTAGATTGACCAAACATTAGGTTGAAATAAAACGATGCATGTATGTATCAGTTTATTTAGTAACATAACTATAAACAGCAAAATTACAAATGTTGTAATTTTTTAATTAAAGATGAATGTATTTCTGATAGATCTATTTGATATCTTGTCATAATATAAATGGCTGAATGTCATACTTAAAATTATTTAGAAAAAAGTTTAAAGCAGCATGCCTCCAGAATCATGCTAATTAAGTAATTTTTGTGAAAAAAAATATAAATGTATTTAAACTATAAAACACTATAAAATATTGTGAAATGAATGAAAAAAAATAATTTAAACATTGCAAACTGCCCTTAAAATCCACATGAATTACCAAAAAAAAAAAGGTCAAAATTATTATGCAAAATAGCCCTTACTGGGTTAGTCACCATCACTCGTATAGAAATATGGTGATAAACACTGCAATATTAGTTGTTAGCACATAGCATCATGTAAATTATTACTTGAATCCTTTTGCTTTCCTTAAAATCTTATTTTGTTTTCCTCAAGTTGATTTTCTCGAAAAATTTCTAGCTTGTCTGTAGGCAATGCAGCTTTAATATCTATGAATGCTTTCTTTATATACAAGTTATGTATTGGTCATATAGAAAAAGTTGGTTAATAAAAATCATTTCTGTTTCAGGTAGAAGAGATATTCTTCTCTAATAGGTGCAGGAATATAAGTTCTCCTAAAAAGATTATTATTGTATGATGATGCCTTCCCAGTTCAAGATTCCCGCTCAATAAAGACTTTCCTGTGGTAAATGAATAAAGAAGCTTCTGCAAATCTGTCGTTGTAAAATTACAATGTTTTCATATATAATTTAAGAAGTCATAACTGATATATCTAGTGTACGAAAAGACTCCCATTATTTTCTAATGTCTTCGTGAGCTTGGAGTGAAGTGTTCACAATAACTGTGCTGTTTTTACCTTCTCAATTGGACTTAAGGTTGTTCCTATTTAGCGACCAGACAAAGAAAAAACATAACTGACGGTGTGAAATAGTTAACTGTAAGCCTTTAACTGCTCGAAAAGTCATTGGAGATCAGAGAGTGCAAACACAAGGGAATAATCTTGGTAGACACAATGGCAGCCCCAGACCTGGACATTATAAAAGATGTACCAGGTTATAAGGTGATACTGAAGGCTGTTCTGAAGAGCCAGATTCAGCAACTGGTAAGTCTTCTATTTTGACCGCAGCATTTTTTCAACCCGAGGCCCTGCTTAGGGAATTGTGCTGCCTGGTACCGAATAAATTGGAAAAAATGCATTGTTTTGGTTTGGGCTCAAATTGGGAATTTTACATTTACATGCTAGTTATTCATGGGAAATTTCTTTTATCCACGGAGACATGAGGCCATCCTTAAAAAAATGTATGTTTGCTGTAACGCCACCGACTCATAAAATTTGCCACTACTCAAATTTTTTTTCATGGTCTGGATAAAAATTTATTTTTTTTGTCTCAGAAAATTATGCCTTGTGCTTTGTTTTCGTTCTTTTAAAGGTTAATTGAAGAAATAAAATCTAGTTCTTATTAAATTCGAATTCAGTTATCAATTTATTAATTGTTACCAGATTATCAAAGCATATATTGTCCAGCATTTTGAAATTCCATTTGGGAGTACAGTTCAATAAAAAAAAAAAAATCGACCTACCTACCCACCTTGAAAATTCTGGGTCGGGTTACTGCATACAAACATTTTTTCAAGGATGGCCTGAGAATTGTGCATAATATACGTGTACATTAAAACCATGTTTTATTAACTTAATTTTTTAAATCGAGTTCATGTATATGATTAATGTTTAGGTGCGAAACACTAGAAGTACAAAATAAACTGGGTACGAAAATCACTCAAGCCAAGTTCTTTGTCCTTACGACCCTCTATCATTCTGACAAATACAATAGGTATGATCCAGTAATGACTGTAATCAAAGACACCGTCATTGCCCTTGCTTCGTTTGCCCGTCATCCTTTTACTCCCTGAAAATAACCTTGAGTGTATTGTCTGAGGCATTACCAAAGCTTTTCATAAGTAATTTTCTACATTCCTGTATTGATTCTATTACCAGGTTGAACAGCTGGCCGCCACAGCAGAAGAAGAGTCTGTTATACTTACAGCAAGTGTTGCAGACGGCACGCTCAGCCATCTTGGATCGTCGTCGGGGAAAGGCTTCCTGGAGGATCATGAAGACATTAAGTCACAGTTCCTTGGATTCTGCCTCAAAAGTAAGGTTTTTGTCTTCTTTCCCAATGAATGATGTTTCCTTTGTAGAATGATCTTCTCAACAGGGTGAAATGAAAGATTTTTTTTTTCTCAAGCAACCATCTTATTTAACTTCAAACCTTAGAGTTTTATTATTGCTTTTCCACTTTTTTAACACTATTATATTATACTGGTATACCAAAAGAAAGAAATTCCTAACTACATTACCAATTCTCTTGTTTCACCCTCAACACTGTGGGTTTGAATCCTGTCAGGTTTTAGGATTCTTTCATGTAAGGAACCTATCCTGCTAGCTTATTACAGAATGTGGTGTTTCTACTCAGGTGTTCATTTATGCCTGATATAATGCACAGAGGGGCAGCTGAGGTCTTTCTTGATCAGGAAAGTGTTTGTGAGGCTTTTAAAGCAATGAAAGAAACACAAAGAAGTTTTCAATGAAGAAAACTTAAATTTTGCCCCAGTTCCATCCATTTAT